GAAATCATAGAAGGAAATGAGATGGGTGGAAAAAATAAAAAAATCCAGTGTGCTCCCAACACCAAGTGTGTAGGGTCAAAGAAGTGTGATAGTAGTTCTCTCCCCAACTTTGGAGGCAGGAAGGCAGGATTACACCCTTTTCCCACAGATCTCTATTTTGCCAACACAGCGCACACCCCCTTCTAGAAAGCAGGATAGCAGCACCAGCATTCTGAAAATTATTTGTAAAAAAGAAGTAAGCCATGAACTGGAACAAGAAATGCCCACTGTTGACCTCATCACTTCTAACATCTTTTACTGTCAGCTTTTTCTTTTTAATTGCTTTCTAAAACTGGCCTGTTCTAAAATTAGGACAGGACATAGTGCGATTTTACCCCCCTCCCATAGCATGGGGGCACTGGGTCATTTGCAAATGAGAAGAAAATGCTGAAGGCAAGTTTCAGACAGGGACAGGAAGTGTGGCAAAGTGGAACAAGGGGTTGAGTTTGGGGGAGGGAGGGATCTGCCAAAAATAAAGACCAGTTCTGCTTCATGTTAGTAGAAGGGACGTTGTTGTCTGGGTGATGGAAAAAAAACCTGGGAAATTTGGAAACCATTTAGGTACATTTAATGGAGCAAGTCCCTCATCTGAATGACCCCTCAGAATAGTATTTCTTTATATATTTCAGATATATTTTTAAAGATTGCTTTCAGAACTAGTTGGTAGTAGGATTGCAAGCTAACACACACTATTTAGTGCCCAGGGAAGTCAGTGGGTTTTAGTTACGCATAACAAGGTATAAAATTACAGATCAACATACTTATTTCCATCTATAGAGATATGAAGTGGCCGTACACTTCCAATGCATATCCCATTAACCTTTTGATGCTCATCTGAACTTTGCTGGATGCTTCTTTTGATGAAAATTAGGGTGTGTATTGCTGTTTCCAAAAGTGACGAAAGGAGAGTCATGCGCTGTTATCTTATGAAAATCAGAACAATATCAGTTAGCCTGTTTAAATTCTATTGCATAGCCATTTTTAAAAAAAAAAAAAACTGTAACACAAGGAGGGAAAAGATATTCTCTTTCTCTCCTCCTAGTCACAAACTTTAATGTGCTCTTCCATTGTGGTTTCCAGAATGAAGACTCTGATGAAGAAGACCTTTGTGCCATTAGTAACAAATGGACTTTCCAAAGGACAAGCCGAAGATGGTCTCGAGTGGATGACATTAACACTTTAATTCATCAGTGTGACAAACATGGCTCCTCAGGGGACATTAAAATGAAAATCACCACCAGCAGCGAAAGTGTCCTTACTGATTTGAGTGAGCCTGAGGTCTCATCCATTCACAGTGAAAGCAGTGGGGGAAGTGACTACAAGAGTCAGTCTGGAGTCAGCAGTCTTCTCAGGGAATATTCAGGACAGTGCTGTCTAGAAAACACTCTTGCTCATGATTCTAGTTCAGCTGGCAGTACCCTTTCTCAGCTCCCAGGAGACTCTCCTCACCTTGGAAATGAAAAACCAACACGAACCAAAGCTAAAGCGTTTCTAAAGCGCATGGAGACATTACAAGGCAAAGGTGTGCATGGCAAATTAAAAGGCTCTGGGAGGACTAGTGGCTTGGTAATAAGTAGACCCGTTCTTCAGCATGAGCCCAAAGCTCTAAAGGATATGCAAGGTTTGCAAATAGGGGATGGAGACCTCCAAAACATAACAGCCCAGGATGCTCTCAAACAACCCTTTCCCTTCTCTGACAAAACCAGCAGTGAGAGTAGCCAATCGGAGATCAGCAGTAGTGGCATAAGCACACCTTCCTTAAAGGAACGCAGATATCATGAAGTAAATAAACGAGGTGGCATGTACCTGGAGGACCTGGATGTTCTTGCAGGAGCAGCACTGAAGCAAATGATAGATCAAAATCATAGAAATGAATTTCATTCCCAAGAGAACATGGTGGTTTATATTCCTAAAGATCACAAACCCGGGACATTTCCTAAGGCACTTTCTATTGAAAGTCTTTCTCCTACAGACAATAGCAACAGTGTAAACTGGAGGACGGGCAGCATTTCTTTAAGCAATAAGACATGTTCAGCACATAAAGAGGCCAGCCCTCTTGCTTCCTGCCCAAAGGAGAGCCGCATTAGTATTTATGACAATGTTCCAGGTTCTCATTTATATGCCAGTACTGGAGACATTCTGGACTTGGAACGAGAAAACCTTTTCCCTCATCTGGATGATATTTTGCAGCATGTTAATGGGCTTCAAGAATCTGTAGATGACTGGTCAAAAAATATATTGCCAGATTTGAAAAATAATGCTCTATCAACTGGTGATGGAGGATCTTTATCCTTCCCGTCACAAGCTAAGACATCATTAGAATTTGAACAAAATTCTGTATCTGATGGCCACACAACACCTAGTGATATGGATAGGGATGGGACATCTCTCAATGAATCAGAAGCTACCGGTGTCAGGGACAGACGGGACTCTGGGGTTGGAGCATCTCTCACCAGGCCAAACAGGTTTGTGACTATGAATGTTGCTATCAGTTTGTGACTATCAGAATAAAGGTTGACAAAGTCCTGATATGTACAGTTCCCAAACAGAAAACAGTAGAAGCCCACAGCTCTTGTACGGCCTTATATATGTTTATTTCTGAAGGAATTAGTGATTGTTTTTTCAGGCCTTACACTGAGGCACATGGTAGATCAAAAGCAGGAAATTATAAACTTTAATTCTCAATTGTTTGATATTCTCAGAGAATCTTCCACTGAAAACTTCATTCTTGTTTGCAGGAAAGTAAACAATATGCTAAATATAACACAAGTAGTAGACTAGAAGAAAGTTTTATTTCAGAAGGACTAGACTTCCTCCTTGGATTGCACAGGACCGAGCAGCCCCCTGTTGTTAGCAGTGCAGTTGCCTCTGGTCCTATGGCTGTTGCCCAGCCAGCCCCTCTCCCTGGCATGTCGGGTCCACGTGGCAGCTGGAGAGGATGCTGGGGCGTGTTGTTAATACAGTAAACTCTTTTTTTCTCTCTCTCTCCCTCTCTCCCTCCCTCCCTCCTATTTGTGTTTCAGTGTGTGTATCAACTGATTATGCTTTGCAGTTATGATTTGGGGAGCATAAGAGTTATACACAGGTTTTGAACTGTATGAGGGTCCAGTACCCCTAACCCCAATGTTGCTGGAGGGAGAAGTGTAATTTCAGCTTTCTGAAATGGTTAAAACATTACTCTACAGATACTAGGCCTTGCACCATCAGAGCACACAGGTATGCTGAGATTTTTTGAACCTTGACTACTGACACAGGTTCGTTTCAACAAAACCACTGTACCCTGTGGGTTTGACAATGCCCTTTCCTATTCACATCTAGGTGCCATGGAATTGAATGAGATATACTGGATCAAAAGTTAATAGAATCACAGAATTGTAGAGCTGGAAGGGGTTCCAAGACTCACTGAGCTCAGCTCCTGCCATGAAGTATACTTTTGTGTGTGACATTTTTCAGCCATATAGTCTTCTTCAATTAATTTTTATTATGTTACTTAATTGTTGAAAGCAATATATGGAGTCACTCCAGGTACACATGTATGAAAAATAGCAAAATGAAAAATTGTGTACTTGCAAGAGAAGTTTTATAAGCTTGAGTTTGAGTGCAATAATCAAGCTTCTTACTCAATTGTGTCTTATTTCATTTGTCCTAAGGCGATTACGTTGGCATAGTTTCCAGATCTCTCACCAGCTAGAATCACTACAGATAAGCCGTCAATCAGCTGCTCAATTAAATTTGCTGCAGAAATTTTCCTTGCTTCGTCTAACTGCCATCATGGAAAAATATTCCATGTCAAACAAGCATGGCTGGACATGGTAAGTACTGTACAATTTAAAACATCATAGGGGCTTTAAAATATATATATTGTATTTTCAAAGCCTGAAATTTTTATTTATCATAAAATCAAAATAACTTTCTTCTATTATTATTAAATTTAGTATGGAGAATATAATTTGTGAAAACTATAATATAGCTAATTTTCATTTTAAAATTGATTCAAAAAGGCTGTATCACAACAGTTTCAATTTCTTGCATAGAGTCTAGAAGTGCTATTCTTTCTATAAACAAGGAGTGTCCTCCCCTTGTGCCTGGCTTACAAATAGATATCTAACAGCTGTGTTCCAAGAGGCTTCTGAAAGCACAATTGTATTCGGAAACATCTTTTTTTATTTTAAAAGATAGGTAGCAGTTGTTCACCACGGCAGCAGCAAATTTGATGGCAGGTCGGTGAGGACTCTTGGAAGACTCATGTGGATTGCAGGCCATGTGTTGACCGCCCCTCATATAGTTAGTGTTCATGTGGCAACTAGAGAAGGATTGTTTATCCATCTGCCTGTTTGTTTTATATTTCTGCTAACAAAACATTGAAAATTATTAGAAGTTCCTTGCTTTTGAATCAACTCTGACAGATATAGCATTACCAAAAAACAAACAAACAAACAAACAGGCATTACATAAAAAAAATACCAGGGGACGTGGTGATGCTGCGGGTTAAACCGCAGAAGCCTCTGTGCTGCAAGGTCAGAAGACCAGCAGTCGTAAGATCGAATCCACGTGACGGAGTGAGCCTCCGTCGCTCGTCACATCTCCTGCCAACCTAGCGGTTCGAAAGCATGTAAAAATGCAAGTAGATAAATAATTACCACCTCGGTAGGAAGGTAACAGCGTTCCATGTCTAAGTCGCACTGGCCATGTGACCATGGGAGATTGTCTTCGGACAAACGTTAGCTCTATGGATTGGAAACGGAGATGAGCACCACCCCCTAGAGTCGGACACGACTGGATAAATTGTCAAGGGGAAACTTTACCTTTCAAAGCTAATGATGTCAGAAGCTGCAGAGTTTTTTCATACAAAATCAAAGATGTCAGAAGCTGCAGAGTTTTTTCATAAATTAAAATTTTCTGCTTCTCCTGCCAAAGATTCTGAGGCTCCCTTGGGATCCTTGATGTTTTAGGGAAGCTGTTGGGAGCTGTGGGATGGGGGGAGTCTTTCTTTTCTGAAAGTCACCGTGGCACAACTTCCAAGTTCTGTGCATGTGTTAGGACTTCAAACCATTTGGTCATGTATTTTCTATTTCCTGTTTTCTAGCCATGATCTTGTAGATTACACAAAACAGGCTCAGTTCCAGATTCCATAAACAACATTTATCCCTAGCATTTCTTACAACATAACATATTCCAGCTGAATACTTTATGGCATTAGCTTGCATCTAAGTAGCCCATGAGAGACCGCTAAGGATTATTACTCTCATTTTATAGCCAAAGGCAATCAACAGAGAGCTGTAACATTTCAGTCTATAATCACACAGCAGGAAATGTAAATCTGACTTTGTACACCACGAAGCAAATCCCAGTTTGAAGTAGTAATAAAAGCAATCATCATCATAGCTAAGAGGAAAAATACAGGAAAAATATTACTAAATATTAGCCAATCTTTCCTTAAATTAACATAATAGCTTTGTAACTTCTAGAGAGTTGTGCTCAATATCAGCCATGAAAACAGTATCAAATTAACAGGGAAAGAAGAAAATGTAGAAAGAAATTTGTTCTTTTTTCCATAAAATCTGATTTATTGCTTCTAATTTAAATGAAGACTGGTTACACAAGAAGAGAGAGGTTTTTCCCCCTCCCCAATTTTCAGAGTCCTATTAAGGGTTGTGCAACTTGCTGCAGCTAATTGCCGCTAATTGACAGATGTTGGGGGTACATCTCAGTTTCACACCTGATCACATTCATGATTGAGCAACTGAGTTGCACAAAATGAAGAAAATAAACAGCCTTTTCACCTCAAACTAAAAAAACCTGTTCTATGCATCTGTTTTGCTTAAATCCTTCATACAAAGAGATGCCTCAACTACCTCTTTCCTGTAATTCTATAAATGAATTGCAGTGACAAGTCATGCAGTCTGAGATTACAGCTGTAATGAGCCACATGATGAAAATTAACTCTGCATGCTTTCCAGTTTAATCTTCTGCCACTATTTATCGCACTTCAAGTTGGCAAGCATTTGCAAATGAAGTGTGTAAGTCTGAGCCTGTTGAAAGCTATGTTAGCGGAAGACGTGTTCTTGTGGAACAAAAATGTTTGATTGCTGCAGCCACAATCTAATGGTGAGAGTATAAAATGTGCATCATGTAAAGCTTCCATGTATCTCGCTTTAGGAATGAAAACTATTTGCTCCCAGTTAAACCTCCTTCTGTTTTTGCTACCGTTTCATCAAACCCATTTCTTTCCCTGCCTTCAGTCCTTCTAGAAGTACGTAAATGCAATCCCCTATCCATTTTGGGTAGCCTATCAGAGATGAGATAAAAGCACCTGTTTCTGTGACCTGCCTTGGAGTGCAGAAATGAGCTATCATGGATAACTCATTGAGCTGAGTACCTTGCTGTGACGCTAGAGGTCAGGAGTTTGATTCCCCGTTCTGCCTCCCAGAACAGCCAGCCTTGGGCAAACTACATACTCCTCCAAATACCTCCCAGAAAAGGAAATGATAAACCACTTCCAAAGTTGGTATACTGAGTACCCAGCTTGCGGGGGCAATGTGTAGCCTGCATAATTAAACTGGGAATTATATACTGCCGAGAGATTGCTTTAAGTGCTATGAGGAAGTATATAAGCGGCACACTTTGCTTTGCTAAGTGCTATGAGGAAGTATATAAGCAGCACACTTTGCTTTGCTCTCTGCCTACGGTAGGTCACCCTAGCAAGGGTGTTGGAACTGACTTGATGGCGTGTGATTTTTATTAACATAACTGGGGAGCTGCTTTCAGGAACTATCTAATCTGTCTGATGCATAGAGCACCTAGGTTAAATTACATAATGATTCATATTATTTTAGAAATGTTAGAGCAGTTGCAGAGTATGGTGATAGGGACTAAAACTGTGGGCCGATACAGTCCTAGAGAAAATTTTATCCCAGCAGATAACAAGGACAGCTTACTTTATAAGAATGGCCTGGCATGGTCAGATCAAAGGGCTCTTTGTTCCAGTATTCTGTTTACACAGCGGCTAACCAGTTGTTTCTGGGAAGCCCACGTGAACGATATGACTGCAAAAACACTTGCTGAGCACCCTTCAACAAGCAAGACAAGGGTGCAATAGCAGCTTCTTGTTAACCTTCTGTGATGCCTAACACTTTAAAGCGATTATTGGTCAGGTAAAAAATATATGTGGGAGTAGGGAGTTTGATGACATACATCACAGTAGGGTACAGGCCTTCTTTTGATTCCCATCTCCCCATAGTTTATCTTTTTAAAAACACCATAAAACTGATAGGAAAGACACATTCTTCATACTTAAAGACATTTTTCCCTTATTCAGTGGCTGAGAATTCCAGAGCTGAAAGTGGTGCAGAAAAAAAACATAAGCATTCCAAAATCCATGGCCAGATGTGTAGACTACTATAGCTTCTTTGGTCTAAAACCTCAGGAAGACTCATGCTGATTCAAAGGATAACTTATGATGATTTAGGTCTTCGGATTGTGTGCAAGGGCCATGTGGCTTTTCTTCTTGTGTATCTTTCTTTTGCATCACTTAGTCTGGTCTTGAAGGCAGGAGTGATGTATGTGCATGTTATACACATATTGAGACAGATAATACTATTGTTCGCATTCTCGTTGTTCTTAATATTTTAGGTCTGTACCAAAGTTCATGAAGGGGATGAAAGTTCCAGACTACAAAGATAAGAACATCTTCGGTGTGCCTTTAATTGTCCATGTGCAAAGAACAGGGCAACCTCTACCACAGGGCATACAACAAGCATTGCGCTATTTACGGAACAATTGTCTAGATCAGGTAGGTTCCTCATTTCCTTACATCATGAGTGTACAAACATCTGTGGGAGCTGTATTTTTTAATAGGGTCACAATGACTTCGGTCTTTATGGCTTTGGATTCTCTCTCTCTCTCTCTCTCTCTTTTTCCTTCTGTTTTGTATTCCCTAGTGTAACCACAGTACATAAACTGTAACAGACATGTTGGAAAGCATTCTCTTTTGTTAACCACAGTACTGCAGAAGAATGTCACCATGAAATACTGTTATGCAAGTCACTATGAGGACAACGAGATGGTTTTAAAGATGGGGGGGGGTAATTTTAACCCCTTTGCTGCTCTTTTATCTTTTATACATCACTTTTTATATGCAAAATGCTCTATGGTGTGCATTATCTATGCCACTGGAACAAATTTGTAAAGTCCTGTTTTTCACAGAAAGAAGTGACGATGATAACTAACCAAATAATATGTTTAGAGCATTAGAGGACCTTAAATGCAGATCAAAGAATCTAGATTTCAGTTCAACTCCCTAGCAACTGAAGAGACACAGAGAACTTTTTGAAATGCCTTCTACTAGAATTTAAGAATAAAGTGTTCAAATAATTTTAGAGCTTTTTCTCTTTAAGGGCTTTGAGACGTTCTTTTCTTGTTTTAGAGCATACTGGGGCCGCCATCCAACACAACCTATCTGACATCGTCACAAATCTGGTTGTGAGATATTTAGGCTCTGTAGAATGTAGAGTATCCCAAATTTCACTGCAGGTTTCCATTCCAAAGGAAAAGTAAAGTTCATTTTGTAAATCAGGTCCATAATCTGCTGGATCTGAGCAGGTGGGCCTGAAAATCCAAGGGTAGGTACATGCAGGTGGATGATGTGCCCAGTCAGGCTCATACAGGTGTGATACTGTTCTTGATATGAACAGTGTCAAATAAGAGTTCTCCCTGGCAGTGAGGGTAAGATAATGATGTGGAACTCCAAGTGTGACTTGATAACAATAAAGAAACAGGTTGAGAGTTTACCCTGTCATTCGACACACATTTCTTTTATTATCCTGTGCTGGATGAGATTGCACTCCCTCTGAAAAAACAAAGCAAAAGCAAAGCGTGCTGCTTATATCTGCCCCATAGTATTTCAAGCACTCTCTGGGAGGTTTACAAGTTAATCATGCAGGCTGCACATTGCCCCCCACCCCAGCGAGCTGGGTACTCATTTTACCGACCTCGGAAGGATAGAAGGCTGAGTCAACCTTGAGCCGGCTATCTGGGATTGAACCCCAGGTCGTGAACACAGTTTTGGCTGCAGTACAGCGGTTTAACCACTGCACCATGAAGCTCTTCTGGTATGCAGCTTGAGGATGCTCCTGAATTAATCTCTGATTCTGGATGCCCAGGTCTTGGTGATGGCCAGGAGTGCCTTTGCACAGTTAACTGGGCAAAGTGCGCCAGCTGTACCCATTTGTTGGGACGGCTGATCTGGCCACAGTGACACATGCCCTAGTTACATCTCAACTGCATTACTTTAACACACTCTATATGGAGCTGCCTTTGGAAAGTGTTTCGAAACTCCAGAGGATCCAAAATGCAGCAGCCAGATTGTTAACTGTGACTGGTTACAGAGATCGTATGATACCCCACCCCCAGCAGCTCCACTGGCTGATGATCCATTTTCAGGCGCAATTCAAAGTGCTGGTCTTAACCTATAAAGCTCTAAACAGCTTGGGCCCAAGCTATCTCAAGGACCACATCTACCTTTATGAGCCTGCCTGGGCTTTAAGATCATCAGGGGAGGCCTTTCTCTCCGTCCCACCACCCTTACAGGTACACTTGGTGGGAACACTGGAGAGGGCCTTCTCTTTTCCTTGCTCCCAGTCTCTGAAAGTCCCTCCCATGGGAAGCTAATCTGTCCCATCTGTGCTATCCTTCTGCAAGCAGGCCTTGCAGAGAAAGACCTGTCTTTTCAGGCAGGTTTTCCTTAATAACTGGTAGTCCGGGAGGGGTTTTTAAATGAATGGTTGTGCTCTGTTGTTTTAAATGTGTTTTAGTATTGATTTTATTACTGTTTTAATGTAATACTTGTTTAATTCTATTAAAATATTTGTATACCTACTTGTTTTTAGTTTTTAAATATTGTCTTTTTAATGATGTAAGCCACCTTGGGTTCTTTTTAAGGAGAAAGGCAGGATAAAAATATTTTAAATAAATTAATAGTAATGTTATTTCCATATTTTTCACAACATGCTAAAAGAAGCAAAAAAAGTACCTATTCTTGGTGTTGTTGGGGTTTGTTTGTTTTTTGCAAGAATCCTGTATAGTTACATCTTCTGCTACCAAACTGTATGTAATACCATAAATATATTACTGCAATATTACTGTATTTATCCATTATACTGTATAGCTTTTTCAGTCTGTAGCAACAAAAACAACAAAAGCTCTTGTGATACCTTACAGGTTTGACTCGTTTTATCTATTATAAACATCTCTTGACTGTAGCCCACTTCAGATGCCTCCAATCTGTCTGATACTTGTAGGATTGTAACCTTATCTCTCCTAGAGTCTATGTACACAGAATAAGGATTATAGCAATGATCGTATCACCTCTATTTTGCATAGGTCAGTGTGACCATGTTCAGAAATTGAGCCCTGTATGTGTACTGTTCCAATGTGAGTTTTCTCACTCAATAGTGAAAGACATCTGAAAAAGTAAAAGGGCGGGACTCAGTCACTTAAGGGGTGTGAATATCCCACATCTCTGTCACCCAGTTCTGGTTATTAGAGACCTTTATATCCTATATAAACAAAGAGTTAATTGTGACAGCTGCATCAGTATTATTGACTGAGTTAATACCCAACATGTCTGCAGTAATCATTACAATCAATGTGTTTAAATCATCAGGTAACACTGCTCCTGTGTAATTTCTAACGTACCTTTGAGAACATATCAGGGATTGTAGAATCATAGAATCACAGAGTTGGAAGACTCCACAGGGGCCATCAAGTCCAATAACCTGCCAGGCAGGAACTCCATCAAAGCACTCCCGAACGATGGCCATCCAGCCTGTGCTTAAAAACCTCCCAAGAAGGAGAGGCCACCACACTCCGAGGCAGCATATTCCACTGCCGACCAGCTCTGACTGTCAGGAAGTTCTTCCTGAGATTCAGGTGGAATCTCTTTTCCTATAGTTTGAAACCATTGCTCCTTGTCCTAGTGTCTGGACCCATGGAAAGCAAACCTGTCCCTTCCTCGACATGACATCCCTTCAAATATTTAAACATGGCTATCACGTCCCCTCTTTACCTTCTTTTTGTAAGGCTAAACATTCCCAGCTCCCTAAGCCGCTCCTCATCGGACATAGCTTCCAGACCTTTGACTATTTTGGTCGCCCTCCTCTGGACATGTTCCAGGTTGTCAACATCCTTCTTGAATTGAGGTGCCCAGAACTGGACACAATACTCCAGGTGAGATCTGACCAAAGCAGAATAGAATGGTACTATCACTTCCCTTGATCTAGACACTATACTCCTATTGATGCAACCAAGAATTGCACTAGCCTTCTTGGCAGCCACATCATACTGCTGACTCATGTTCTATTTGTGGTCTACCAAGACTCCTAGATCCCTTTTTCAGGGATGTTGTCTAGTCAGATGTCTTCCATCCTATATCTGTGCAGTTCATTTTTTCTGCCTGGCTGTAGGACCTTACATTTCTTCCTGTTGAAATTCATTTTGTTAGTTTTGACCCAGCACTCTAATCTGTCAAGGGCATTTTGAATTTTAATCCTGTCCTCTGGGGAATTAGCAACCCATCCCAATTTGGTATCATCTGCAAATTTAATCAGCATACTCTCTATTCCTTCACCCAAGTCATTGATAAAGAAGTTGAATAGTACCGGGCCCAGAACAGAACCCTGAGGCACCCCACTTGTTACCTCTCTCCAGGATGAAGAGAAGCCATTGGTGAGCACCGTTGGGGTTCAGTCAGTCAGCCAATTACAAATCCACCGAAACAGTAGCACTGTCTATCTTGCATTTTACTAGCTTCCTTGCAAGAATATCATGGGGAACTTTGCCAAAGGCCTTAATGAAATCAAGATATGCTACATCCACTGCGTTCCCTTCATCTATCAAGCCTGTAACTCTATCAAAAAAAGAGACTGGGTTAGTCTGGCATGACTTGTTTTTGAGAAACCCTTGTCGACTTTTAGTGATGATAGCATTGTTTTCAATCTAATAACAAACTCTGTTTAATGATCTGCTCTAGAATTTTTCTGGGAATTGATGTCAGGCTGACTGGACATTAATTATTTTGTCTTCTTCTTTTCCCTTTTTGAAGATAGGGACAATATTTGCCCTCCTCCAGTCTGTGGGGACTTCTCCTGTTCTCCAGTAATTCTCAAATATTATTGCCAATGATTCTGAAATTACTTCTGCCAGTTCTTTTAATATCCTTGGACGTAATTCGTCCGGCCCAGGAGACTTGAATTCATTTAGAGTAGCCAGGTATTCCTGTACTACTTCTCTACCTGTTCTGTGCTGCATTTCCCCCACTACATCACCTGCTCTTCGCCCCTCAGGTTGAGCACTCGTTTCCTTTTCAGAGAAAACTGAGGCAAAGTAGGTGTTGAGAAGTTCAGCCTTTTCCCTCTGTTAGTAGTTGGTCATCTTCTCCACACAACTACACTATTATTTTCTTGTTTTTCCTTTTGCTGCAGGCATAACTAAAAAAGAGAGCCCTTTTTATTGTTTTTAATCTGCCTGGCAAGCAGCATACTCTCTATTCCTTCACCCAAATCATTGATAAAGAAGTTGAAAAGTACCGGGCCCAGAACAGAACCCTGAGGCACCCCACTTGTTACCTCTCTCCAGGATGAAGAGAAGCCTATGCTCTGAGTTCATTCTGCACTTTTGCTTTTCTTACCATCCCCCTACATATACTGGCTATTTGCTTGTATTCCTCTGTGGTGTTTCCCACATTTTTCCATTTCTTGTACATGTTTTTTTTAACACTTAGTTCAGTTGAAAGTT